ATTTTTTAAACTCCTGTCAACTATACAGAACTATCATAAAAACATACCAGTAAATTCTTATCGGTTGAGTTAAGTTATAAATCTACTCATGATTCGCGTAATCGGGCGAGGGCAACCAAATATCTAGCAGGCAGCCGGCTAACAGCCCAGAACTGGCCCTGGATAGAATTGGAAGCATTATATGTGTGTAGCTTCCACCCAAAGTCCTAGGCTTCCGCCAGCTAAACGGGTGAGGTTGGTGTTCTGTAAAGCGCATGCGCGAATCTGGCTTTTTGGATTCTGACAATACAGCGCTTCCACTCCGCCACTAATATTCGAATATACAATAGCGATCTTATCTTTTTTTCACGTGTAGTATAGAAATTTGTAATAAGATACATAATGCAGTTATAATAAAATATTGTGTGATTATTTTCATATAATTAAAATTAATATGCATTTATTTTTTAGAAAATACAAGGGAAGCGGCACATCCACCGCTTCCAATGATGGCACGCCACAGGTTCTAACCCAGAATTCCAACTTGTTCCACATGTTTTCAAAGGGATTTATATTTGAGCTCTATCATGATCACTGTAAAGGAATTATAAATCACAACTTTACAGTTGTTGCTTTGTGACATCAATGTTGATATGCAGTATCATAAAATTGCCACATTATAGAATTATTCAGGTGTCAAAGTAATACTTTGCATCAGGCATGATAACCAAGGGATTCAGACCATACCAAAAAAAAAAAAAAAAACTCAACGTTGTGAAATGTTAAGTTAGGTTGTGGACAAAGAATTAATACACCCTTGCAAACAAAATACAAGAAGTTTATTAAAAACAACAAAACACATACAAAAATACTCCAGAATACCAGGGATATCAGTCAGCAGAAATTTCAACCGAACAATAATACATCCCAATCACTTGTCTGGACTGAAATTAATAACTATGAGTAACAAACTCAAATCTGACATACACCACCATTTTATTAATATAATTAAACTTACCCTAAGTATTAATACTAAACTAAAATTAAATGTTACTACCAAACTTACAGCTAGTACAAAATCAATCAGTATTAGGAGATGCAACTTAGACAATATTGTGAAAACAGTTCTGGACAACAACAGATAGAAATGTCCTCAAGTCAGAGAAGTATTTAGCACCAGACAAGACACTATAGATCTCTAATACCTAACAGAAAGGTAGAATCTCCTTGTCAATTTCATTTATCTATTCCTTTGTCTTCATCTCCACGTATCTGTTATGATTCCAAAGACTGTAATGCCATGTGCTTTTCTTCAAGGACCTTCTTCACTGGTCCACGGAATTCTTCTCTTTCTTATGAGAGAGAACTCATGCCCAGCCTGGCTTGTCTTTTGTCCAAAGGTCTTCTCTTCTTCAGCACCTAACCAAAAGTGTTGTTTTCTCACTTCTGTTTTCCTGAGGTTACTTCAAAACTCATCCAATCAGTCCTTCATAGTTGTATAGAAAAAGGGGTAACTACAACTCCAGAGTTGTAGTTACACAAAGAAACAGGAATGGACAAGCTATTCCAAGACCAAAAATACAAGAATACATAAAAAGGAAACATACATAAAGAAAAAAATATACAATACACAAATAATAGCTACAATACCATAATATCTCAACTTCCAATCTTTATTGTTGGATCCTTCGTATTCTACTGGGAAGCAAAGCATGGTCACTAATAGAATGTGTGGTTTCCTGTTAGGCATCATCCATACTTAAATACAAGAGTGAATCAAAACAAATTGAGACTGGTTTTTTCTTGTTGAAAGTATAATACTAATAAGTTCTTATCTATATTACTGTGAAGAATGATTATCAATGCATCCATGCAAAAACTTGCACAGAAAAATGACACTTCATTTGATTGCTACAGCATGTAGAACAAATTTTGTCTGCTATCCACAGATAACAAAATGGAGGTTAATTATGATGAGTAGTATGTTATGATGAGCACTGCTTGTTATGATCAACCTTGTTTCTGCTTGAGAAAAACAGCTATGGAATTGTATGAAATGCTGAAGATCAGTCTTAGTTTATTTTGACTTGCTCTTGTACATTCATCAGACTGGAAAAATATACAGTACAATTAATAACTCCACAGAATGTACTTCATTGCTTGAAAATCCAGAAATTAAGGTCTCAACATTATGCCACACTTTACTGGGCATCAGGTTTGATAAATAAGGAAATTTTCATGGCATGTAAAGCTCTTGAATTTTAGACACGAGTCTATTTATAACTGTCTTCACCAGTTTCCAGTGTGTGATAACTTTAGTCAGGATTTTTTGTGTATTTTCTTGCCATACTTTCAATAAAAAGATATAAGTTTAGTATTTATTTATTTTTATATTCTGATATTATTACATTTTAAATGAAATAAATTTTACATCGACTAAAGTTTCGTTTTATTAATCTTTATATATTTCTTATATAAATATTGAAAATGTAAATTAAATTAAAATCATATTTCACTGAATTAATTTTTAAAGAAAATATTTTTGTAATTATTTCTATTTTTAGATTTGTGATTTTGGATTAGCCAGGGTTGCAGACCCAGACCATGATCATACAGGATTTTTAACAGAATATGTAGCTACTCGTTGGTATAGAGCACCAGAAATAATGCTGAATAGCAAAGGTTATACGAAATCAAATATCCTTTTTCATTTTTAAGTAAATTTAATAAAGTAATTGTAGAATTATATTTTTATTTCTATTTACATTTAATTCATATATAAATGTGTGTTTATTAATATGTTATGCATTATAATTAGAAGCTAAAATTTATAACTTTTTATTTTCACTATTTATGTAAGATAAAGTGGCTGGATTTTCAAGAAATAAAATCAATGCATTTCTTTCAGTGTGATTTTAAAAAAGTTTTTTGATTTATTTAACTGCCTATACCTTTAATTTATTTGTTATATGTTTTTCATTTGAATGAATTTTCTTTTTAAACTAGAAATTCCCTTGTCAAGCATGACAAATGCTTTTTATGAAAAAGTAGAGATTGAAGAATTGAGAAGAGTAGAAATTTTAAGAAATTCCAGAAGAGTTGCTAATATTTCTAATATAAAGGAGTTTATACTATCTGTTGTAACATAAAGAACAACAAAACAAAATTTCACCTAGAGTGGACAAAAATAGTAGGAGTTATAGAGAATTCACTTAAATACTGTACACATAAACAGATTTAGGCCTTTATATTGAAATAATAATAAAATCTTTCATTACAAAATTTCTATATACACTATTGTCTTTTAAAAGATTTCTATGCTGTCTTTTTTTAGTAATAGACACGTTAATATTGTTTCAATGATTGACATTGTGATGCTGTTTCTGCAGTCCTTGACATAGTCATTGTCAATCTATTTTGCTCAAGTCAGACTTCATGGCCTTTAGGGGGGTCTCAGTTATTCTTATTTTTTTAGATCTAGAATTTACCTGACCAACTTTACTCTTATGCTTTCCCCTAGGTTTTTTTTTTTTTTTTAAATAATGACATTAGATTGTTACTTCCAATTGGATAATAGAATGTCATGTGGTCACAGAATTTGTTATAGAAGTGACACAATGCAGCTTTTTTTTTAAAGTTTAAATTTTAAATTTAATAAAGTAAGTTTAAAATAGGTCATTTGTCAATTATTTTAAAATGCAGCTTAAGGGAAATTTCCTCGTCATGCATGAACTAATTGGGGTCACTGATGTCACTGCAACATAAGTGCAGTCACCAATCTAAAATCAAGAAAACATTTATTCTAGTTATTATTTCTGCAAAATAAGTAGCCTATACTTTCTGTATATTTTATGTAAAATGAATATAACCCAAAATTTTATATGGATTGGACAAAAATTGCAGGTGTTATAAAGAATTTGCACACACGCACACACAAATGACTTTTATATTAGTAATATGTCATTTATTCTTTATTTTTTTATTTATTAATTCTTCAAGTATAATTAAGATTTAGTTTAACTGTTATTGTAGTAGTAATGTTTCAATAGTCAAGATAATTTTCTGAAAACTTAGAAGATACAATGATCGTATCTTCTAAATTAATTGATCTGGAAGCAAAGATCATACCTTAGTTCAATTTTCAGATTTAGATCAATTAATTTAGACAGAGAATATATTGATAATTGGCAATGCATCTGCACAGTAACCAGAAGTTGCAGATTTGAGTCTGACTCTAGAATGATTTTTTTCTTTTGGCATATTTTAAATTAATTAAAGTTTAACTATGAAATTTTAATACAAGATTGTGACTTAATTGCCTGTCTGTAGTCTAACTTACATAATATTGATATACTTAATTAGCCAACTAGTTATAGCCTCATAATCAAGCTTTATTATTGATTATTAATATAATTCAGAGTTGGTTAAATTAATATAGAATATTTAAATTATATTAATTTAATTAGAAAAATGGTTAAATTCATATAGAAAATATTAATTTTACCATTTTATGATGCAATGATTTTTCAGACAAAATTATTTTTGTCTCAAAAATCAAGAATGTGTCTCATTTTTATAATTAAAATCTTAAAAATAGTTAAAATAATTTTCACCATAATTAATTAATCATATTTTATATTCATTGAATACATAGTGTTAATTTCCTTAATTCAAATTCACTAGACATTTGGTCAGTTGGTTGTATCTTAGCTGAAATGATTTCAAATCGACCAATTTTCCCTGGTAAACACTGTAAGTATAAATTACTCTATTTATTTTTTAAACATTACAATCGAATATATAATCATTTACAAAATTATATTAAAGTTAGGAATTGCATATCTTGATAGTAGACCTGCGATAATCCAACAAATGTTTTGCAAGGCGGTGTTGGATGATCGAATTTGTCGGACTATAGAGTACTGCCACTGGCCCCTTGTAGTCCGGAACTTTTTTGAAAAGAAGTACCTTGTAATCCGACAAATCACATACTTATAGAAATGGTAAGATAAAATCTATATGTACTACATAATATACAATATGGGACTTAGTGAATTAAACAACACAATAGATAGCATAGGGTTTATTATAAAATTAACGTCATTAACGCTATAGCACTTGCAAAAAAATAATAACTAAACATATTGATGTCAATCAATTACATACGACATATGTAAGTATTTCCAGGGTACAGTACATACTATGTATGATCTTAATTTGAAAATGAATAAACAAATAAATTTATGGTGCATGCAAATATTCATCAATTTTCTTTTATTTTACATTGGCTAAACGTGAGAGTAAGGCCTTGTCTCTCAGTCTCCTCAGATGTAAAAGTTCGTTGTTCGATGCGACAGCAATATATGAACGCATGCAATCACATTCACGATCAAACTGAGACAATATGCATCAAGTTTCGGAGGCGACCTTCCTTTTGAGGCTACTGCCTCCACCAAAAAATGTAAAAACAGGTAGTGTCCTCTGGTGTTATTGCCACTATCATATCAATACATTTAAGTAAAAAATAATAAAAAAAACATGGCCGGCGTTACAGTAGAGCGTCGATTATCCGAATCAATTGGGGACTGGGGTTGTTCATATTTCGGATAATCAATTACGTACGAAAAAATATATTATCCTATCCCATATTGAAATTTTTCTCCGTTGCGTGTCACTTCACGTTGAATTTTTGTCGATGTTAAGCCTAACGAAGACTATTGTATTGTTAAAAATTGTTTTTTATTTTGTACAAACAAAATAAATATATTGAAAAATATAAAAACAATTAAAAATTATACTTCAGAAGTTAATTTAGTATCAAAAACATAAAATATTTGAGTAGCCCAAGACATAGCCAAAGATTGCAGCGCTACAGCACTGGCGAAAATTTAAATTTGCCGACTGGAATTCTTTTGGATAATTGACTTTCAGATAATCGATACTCTACCGTATTTACATTTAATAAATTTACAAAAATATAAATATGCCTTCTTTACAAAGGTAAAGCCTTGCTTTAGTCCATTGCCGTGTTTTTTTATTATTTTTTACTTAAATGTATGATGTGATAGTGGCAATAATACCAGAGGATGCTCTACCTGTTTTTACATTTTTTGATGGAGGCAGTAGCCTCAAAAGGAAGGTCTCCTCTGAAACTTTGTGAATTTTTATGGATTGCTGATGGTGTGAACGACGAAAAGATGGACTAAAGCAAGGTTTTACATTTGTAAAAAAGTCATATTTATATTTTTGTAAGTTTAATAAATGTTTAAGCTTGCATTGACGAAGATTTGCTGTAATAAATGTGCTTTGTATGTACTGTTATAGGCATGTCAGATTATAGGAGGTGCCGAATTAGACAGGCCTGATTACCACGGGTCTACTGTACTATTCAGATAAATTATTACAGGTATACCTCGACTTACGTCGTTTCGAGTTACGTCGTTCCCGATTATACGTCGTTTCGAGTTACGTCGTTCCCGATTATACGTCGTTTGTCAAAAAAGTATATGGAAAAATAAAAATCAAGTTTAAGTCATTTTATTCGACTTTACATCTGTCTGCCACAAATATTGAAGTCGTAATATCACTAGAAAAGCATTTAAAGCACACAAAATTATATTAAAATATATACATTTACAACTATGTACTGTATTTACAGTACATGCATTCATAAATTTAGATTACTTTTTCTGTACTATATTAAAAACTAAAATTTATTTGTTTGTAAGCTTAAAATAGATCCTTATTAGCCATACCCTTATTAGCCATACATTATTAAAAATGCATTAATAAATAAAATACGGAACCGGAATTGGCAATTTATGGTTTAGCCTAGTGACAAGTAGATTTGGAGACAAGTAAATTTGACTTATGTTGTTTTTCGACTTAAATCGTTCTCCTGGAACCAATTACCGACATAAGGTGAGGTATACCTGTATTATTATTTTTTTATCAGTAAAAAATATGATTAAAAATATTTATTTCAATATTAAAATATAAGAAATTTATTACTTGAAATTTTTTATTGTATCTCATTGATTGCTTTGCATGGATTAACAAATTGGGTGTTAACTTGTCTGTTAATTTTGTAGTGATCTAGATTAAATTTTAAGAAAATCATTGACATTATTAAAAATTTGGATAAAATTTTTTACATTTGTATTGTTTAATGTAATTTTGTTATTAAATGTAGAATATACAACACAATGCTAGTTTTTTACTTTTCCGGCTCTGTTATATATAACAGAGGGAAAGTATGGCAAACATTCAAAAAATGACTCCCCAAGATTTTTTACATTTTTGGACTTGGAAGCTTGAAATATTGAGAAATGCAAAAAAATTGGGGTTTGTATGTATGGATGTTAACATGTATGTGTATGGCACAGTTTTCTCCCTTTTTGAAGTTTAATAACTCCTGTGCTTTTTGTTGAAAGTTTCTGAAATTTTACAGGGAGGTTTGTGTATTAGGGATTGATGCTATTGAATTTTAGTGGTTAAAGGTTGGCAGGATGGAGAGATAAAGGAGGGATTGTGTGTCATATTTTGAGTAGGATCCAACTTAATGATAATTTTACTCATTATTATCATTTGCAATTTTTTTATAAAACCCATCCTACCCTCAAAATTAAGCTTGTTTTTTTATTATTAGTTTAAAATAATTAAAAATATAAATATCTTTAATAAAATATCATAATGGATGGTGTNTGCAAAACACACAGTTAAAGCAATAAACACATATGTCATCCCAGTACTCACATACTCTTTTGGAGTTATACATTGGACTTGCGCAGATCTTGAGCAACTCCAAAGGAAAACAAGAACAACGCTTACTAAGCATAAACAACATTATCCTAAATCCGCCACAGAAAGATTAACCCTGTCACGTAAAGATGGCGGACATGGCCTGACTGACATAGTTAACCTTCACTACAAACAGATACAGTCACTGCGAGAGTTTTTCTACAGGAAACAAGAAACATCACAATTACATAAAGCAGTAACTTTAGCAGACTCAAATTACACATCATTAAACTTACATTCACAACATACAGACATGATACAACACATAAAAAGCATAGACACCATCAAGCAGTCGTGGGCTCGAAAGGCACTCCATGGCAGACATCCTTATGACCTGGCCAGGATTTTGTTGACAAAACTGTGTCGAACAGCTGGTTAGATCGGGGATGCCTCTTTGGGGAGACGGAAGGATTCATGATTGCCATACAGGATCGGGTCATAAATACTAAAAACTACAGAAAACACATACTCAAGGATACAACACTCACAAATGACACATGCAGAAAATGTCACATCGTGCCAGAAACTATACAACACATCACTTCTGGGTGCAAGCTCTTGGCACAGACAGATTATTTACACAGACATAATCAAGTAGCAAATATAATACATCAAGAGCTTGCAAAGAAACACAACTTGGTAGACATTCATGAGCCATACTACATGTATATTCCACAGACAGTATTGGAAAACAACACGCACAAAATGTACTATGACAGAGCCATAATCACAGATAAAACAATTTACCACAACAGACCAGACATCACACTCATTGACAAACACAATAAAATCACATACATTATAGACAATGTACAAAACACATGCACTGAAAAAATCAGTAAGTATACAGAACTTGCCCAGGAAATAAGGCGTCTGTGGAGGATGGATAGGGTGCTTATTGTACCTGTCGTTCTCTCCCGTACAGGTGTGATACCACACACACTACACAAAAGCCTGGGAACATTACAATTGAATAGAAATACATACATCACACTACAGAAAGCCAGTATATTGAATACATGCCGTATTGTTAGGAAATCCCTGAATGCAGACACACACACTGACACAGTTTTGTGAGTTATACTCAGTTGACACTGGTGGCAGTGTACTATGCCTTGACTCTGGTCTGGCATAGTACACAGCCACTGGTGTGAACTGAGTATAACCCACTAAACCCAACATAATAATAATAATAATAATATGTTTTTATTATTCAGTATTTGTCATTATATTTTTTCTTATTGAAATGTATGTATATACTAAAACATGAGTTCTTGAAGCTGTTTATGATCAAGTGAATTATCATTATATATTTTGAATTCTGAGAACTAATTCAGGAGAAGAAAATAACTACATCATTCTAAATAAATAACCTACACTTGATTCTTCAAATACAAAAATATTTTTAGAGTTGTAATATATACAGTATTCCCTATATATACTGGAGTTGTACAAATAAGTTAACATCATATGCTTTAAGTTTTGAATATCCATTTTTTAAGGGCACTTCATATTATCTCGATCTCGTAAAATTTGAAATTAAAAGCCTCCCTGCAGAATCTTGAAACAGTGGATAATACTGAACTCTATACAGTGGGTGATTGGTTAATGAACATAATTTGTTCCAAGACTTTGTTCACTATCCAAATTGTTCGTTAACCGATTATCAATTTACCATAGGTTTTAATGGGGATTTAATTAATTCGCTCTGGAGAACCCAAAAAAATAAAAAATGTATACTTTCTTACTACATTTATTTATATGTAATAATAAAAATACATATATACACAGTCTTGCATTTTATTAGTCATGTTTTTTCCGTTTGAAAGGGTTAAAGAATCTGTCTAATGTCGATTGCTTTTCTCTCTTATTTTTCGTAAGTAATTAATAGCATTGCAATTGTAGAAATCTCCAAGCCTCAACTTGGTTTGGATGCCATTCTAAGACCGTTG